TGAACACGTTTGGTTGGACACACTTGCTGATATGGCTAGGAGCCGACCTCAGTAGCGTTCGTGCTGTGAGTTTCTTTGTCCCACCCCATTCCCCTTAGCCTCTCCCACCAACCACGATCTCATTATTTAACCTTATATAATTTTGCATAGTGATTTTTTGATGCATAGTAGCCGGCTAGTAACTTACCGGAATGATGCCCATCCTTTACCGGTAGCTCAGCCGGCATGCCCCAGTTGAATTCTTTTTTTCCTCTCCTTTTTCCTGTGTATTGCAGCACAGTAGCTGAGGTGTTCCCCACCTCTAACTAACGTTTATGAAAAAATGTTTCCTGAAAAATGTTTCACATATCTGATAGATGAATAACACGACCGTAGTTCTTTACGACGTGCTGAACCATCTGCTGGCATTGTTGCTGTGTCACGTATACACGTGATTCAGACACCACCTTCGTCAGAAAAGGTGTCCGCCACTCACCTTTGCTTAGAACACCTGCAGGGTCAACTCTGAGCATTTCAGCATAGCGTGCTCTCATTACTTGCTTCACATATGACTTTATAATGCTCCAGATGCCCTTGATGAGGTTGAGCGATGGAAAGTATGGGGCTAGTCGCAGAAGTTTCCCTGATTGGTAAGGTTCATCCAAAAAACTTGCTCCAGGTCCGTGTGGCATGGCGCATTGTCGCAAATCAAAAGACAGCTTTCGATAAATGCGAAGCCGTAAGTATCCAGCAGTTGACGCACACACTGAGCACAACTATTTTTGTTGCAGCTGCCTCTTAAAACGGAGAAATCTATCAAGGAATTCTTTGTCATGGCGCCGACCAGGTGTAGATTCTGACCGCTAGTATTCGCCATGGTACATTGCGCCCGAGTACCACGAAGTGAGCGTTCCATGGTGCGACCGCAGGAAAGGTTGAAATTCGTTTCATCTATCCACACTGGTTGTCTTCCTTCTGCATCAAAATGCATCAGCTGTAGCACGAATAATTTCCGTCTCCTCTTGTTCCCTAACATGTTCAGAGACTCCGGAATAGCGTGCAACTTCTTCATGGTTATTAATCGGCCGTCTAAGTACCTGGCGACCGTGCTGGTGCATACCTCAACTTCAAACTCCGCTTTCAACCGCAATCGAAGAACTTCAAGGGTTATTGTCACCTCCGCAGAGACCCACTCAACCAGAGCCTCCACATGACTATCTGCCAACGCTCTGCGACGAACCCCTCCATGCTGTCCCCTAGGTTCGGTTGACCCCCACATACGAATCCAGCTGCGGCAGGTTATCACATTCACGTTAAGCACGCCAGCAACCTGATTCCAATCCGCTCCCTTCCCATACGTTTTCATTATTCTGCGCTTCACTTCCATGGAATGGTGAGCATACGGTCCTCTTCGTGCAATCGCTTTTCGATAAACTGCACGTTCATAGTATTACTGATAATTTATTTCTCCACGTCTCATGTTCCACTCCCCCCCCCCCCAAATAGCCTGTGTATTGGGGTCAACCGTTTGCCTTTATCCCATCTCGCGAAACTGGCTGTAGCATTGACCCAAAGCTGGTCAGCTGTTTGCGGTCAGTCATCTGCCTGTCGGCGTTGCCTATTCGACATCGCTGCAAGAACCCAGTGTGCAGGTGATTTTTCCTTGTGGTCATGTAGCTGTCCACTTACGGTGACTTGTGATACATAATGGTTGGGGTCTGTGAAGTGCACGAACCGCACAGGCTGTGGAGTCAAGTGTTACTCCGTGAGGGACTGTCCGTACTGCGTAATGACATACTGCTGATGCTTTTCTTTTGCTTTCTTAAGCCTTCATGCGAATATCATAGCAATCCCGACTACCGACATCGTGTTCCAACGCCTCCAGCCTACCAACCGGTGCGCTGAGGTCTCCGATGAGATCCACCATATACTTGCAATGATTGGTATGGAGTAGGTAGGATAGTTGACGGTAGAAGTCATCTTTAGCTGAGTCCGGGCTGTAACTCGTGGGAACATGCACTGTTGCGTCAAACAGAAAGTGTTTGGTTACCTCGCGGCTGCACAATCGTATGGAGGCTTTTACTTAAATTGCACAGGATTAGTCGTTAATTAGAATCCAAACAAGTAGCGCTGCTTCTGCGCGCGCAGTAAACACAACTCGTACACCCGCCTAGTCCGCGGCTTCTTCACCTATGTCTCCCGATAACTTTGGCGTGCATGTATTCGGCAAATGATCTGAGGAGTACATAAATTCATGTGCAAGTGTGTTGTCTGCACATGGAAATTTTCAGTTACCCAGGTAGGAGAAACGATTAACTATTCTGTAAACCGAGCCAACGCCTTAGTTCTTAAAGCCGTTACCAGCTAAGCTGTGAGGCGATTAGCATATGTCACGAACCGTCGAGAGCCGATAACAAGTTTTGAGTGTCAACAAACTACCTATGGCACCGGAACAGTACGAGTATAGCAGTAAAGGAACCATGAACCGTTTCCTGAAGCATCCGACTGGTTGCTGATTGCGAACACAGTCGACAGCCAGGTGGCTCGAACACCTTCTTAACGGTCTATGATAGTCTACACAGAAGCGAGTATCAATCTAGGTTGTTCATCCATCCTTCGTTAGATACTTCATTCTGGTTAAAAAATGGTTGGTCACTCACTCCATATTCGGAAACATGGCTTTGTGGTATGTAATGCATAACCAGATGGACAGCGTCGAACTTCCCAAGCTCTGATATGCTGCGCTGATTGTCTGCGGAACAAGCGAGACTCAGTCACACTTGCCCTCAGTAGGAAGGCATTCCTGTGGGAGCACGCGACGGCGTACAAGCAGCCCGTAAGCCGCCCCCTGTGTAGACATCCCATTCTCAGCGTCGTCTTGCATCGCTACTTCTCCACCCATAGCAAAGCATGGTATCACCGCAGCATTAGTATACGCCTAACTGTGGTGTCACTATAATCTTTGGATTTTGTGGTCTACCCCCTACCTACCTACGGGACTCGTTCAGCATTCACTTAATTGCCCCTACTAAACAATACTCAGTGTAACTTTTACACGTTGCTTTGAGGCGCATTGCGTGCTAGCCGTGGAACAAGCACTAAGACAACTCATATGTCAGCTACATTACCACCTTGTTGTCCACCTTGATACATCGACCATCGCAATCGCGGGACGCCAGAAAGATTTCTGCGCTGGTACCATCTCACCAGTGCATGTGCCTATGTCTACCGGTGCACATGCCATTTAGCGGTGTGACCAAAGTAACCTGTGGCCTACGCGCTTCAATGCGCCACTTGTATTGTGCCTAGTGCCCGGTGCGTGCCATGTGTTCACAGCACGCGATAGATCGTATGGGCAAGCGCCTGGGGTTTAGCTTAGTGACACGGATTGTCGACCGTGTCAGAATGCGAGTAGCCAGTGACCCGATTCCATAACAGGCTCTGTTATAATGGTGTTGTGAATCGCGCTCAAATTCCTTATCATACACTGACCCCGTTTCCTGGTAGCCTGCCGTGGGTGACCTCAGATGTTAACGAGGTACTACCCCCATCCGCCGTCACGTAATCCGTCACCGCCCTTGTACCCAGTCGCACACGAGCAAACTCCGGGTTGTAGTGATTCCCCTAACCCACCTAACCTTTACATGCGTACGCCTTGCTATGTCTACTATGCATTCGACATGTTATTGGCCCATAGCGTTTGCCTAAGAAACCACCCACACGACGGTGCGCGCATGTCACAGTAGCCTGACTTAACTTAGTTCATCGGAAGGAGTAACCTGTTAGCGTACCAGACTAAGTTGATATCTGGTTAGCTTAAGTCGCTACCTGTATGGCCTAACATGACTCGGAAATGGTTAG